TGAACACACACACACACACACACACCTGCAAGCACAAAATATGGTCATTTAACGGTCATTTTATTAAAAAAACATCTCTGCACATGGCTGTTAGTGTACATTCATGAGTGTGTGTATGTGCCAGAGAAAAACATCATCCACACACACACACACACAACACACACACCACACACACTCAGTCACTGTTCACAGCTCTGGAGGCGTCTCATTACAGTGAATCTACAGGTGTAAACAATACACACACACACACACACACACACACACACACACACTCAGTCACTGTTCACAGCTCTGGAGGCGTCTCATTACAGTGAATCTACAGGCTTCGCTTTTGTAAACAATAAACGTTACAGTAATGAAACACAATGAAGCATCACGACATTAATGTGCTCTTCAGACATTCACCATCAGACAGCACATGAGCACAGCGCTCGAGCTCCAGAACCGAGCGGCCCGGTCATTCATCAGACGACAACATCGACGACACATGAGCCAATGAATAAGTGCATGAGAAAAGAGTGTAGCTGGTGTGGTAACACTGGAGGAGTGCGGTGGGCACTTGAGTCGCTCAGTGTTCAGGAATACTGCACTCAGTGTAAGGCTGATCTCTAAGGCGTCACTGCTGGAGAATCTCTCCGGCTGCTTTGAGTCACGGGTGATGAGGATGATGAGGATGATGACGGTCCACAGAGGAACCATGAGACTGTTTCTGCACACAGTGTGTCAGATGACCGGCTGCGTTTGACAAAATGAGCAACACTTCAATAGTGCACTGACCTTTCATTCCACTGGAGTCAGAAATATCATAATTATGAGCTCCAAACATGTGAATTCAAGATGATATGCCAGTTACAGCACTGGAAGAAGCGTACATATTGCACCTTTTATCTCTCATCTATATACACTGCTAAAACAAAGAAAAGAAAAGAAAAACTGCTGTTCTTTCTCAGTATTTCTGTCTTGTTTTCTAGTACACATATATTAAAAAAATCCTAAATCAATTCATTTACTGGAGAAACAAAACAAAGCAAGATATCATGATTATTATTACATTTTTGTTACTTGAAATAACATAAATGTTAAATGAAATTTTAGCTAATTTAGACATTTCTTCTTGTTTTAATCATAAACTTTCTTAATGTTGATCAATTTTTCAGAAAACAAGGCTTGATATCATGTCATTGTGCTTTCTCCAGTAAATGTATCTTGATTTAAGAATGTTTAGATGTTTGTAAAGTTAATCACTCAGCTTTATCCAAGTAGAAGTATTTGTCATTATTCTGAGTTCAGATGTCGTGTCTTCACAGTTTTGTTTTAATATTCAGTAATATTATAGGTTTGACTTTGATCTGAATAAAGACACTATTATCTTCTGTAGAGCTGCTTGTTGGCTAGCAAAAATATGTTCTAATTTATTTCTGAATGTTCTCTGAGCGTCCGAAAGTTTCTCCTGGTTATGCAAACGTTAAGGAAACATTGCATTGTATCATTTTGCAAACGTCATGGGAACGTTACTTTTGAATGTTTACATTTAAGAGTTACATTTAAACAACGTCCAGCTGAAACGTTTCAGGAAAAAACAACATTGCATGAATGCTGTTTTCGTGCTAACGCTTTGAGAACGTTATTAAAGAGCAGATCACTCTGAATGAACGTTCTGTTCGTAACTTTGAGAGAACACTGCCAGAACGTTAACCAAAGTCTGAGAAGGTTAGCTGGGTTACAGTGGAATTTAACACTGTTGTTTAACTGAACTGATCCGAATAATGTCACTATTATTCATTTGTGCATCACTAACAGCGTTTATTACAGTGAAGCTGCTTTGAAATGATCTTTTTTTGATTGAAACGCTTTAGACTCAGACGCTTATGAACATCACCGGCGTCTTTCAGTGTTTGGCTGGATTCAGAGTCAGGAGGCGGTGTGCTGCAGTGCTTTCACAGCTTCAGCAGCTGCGCGTGATAACGGGACTCACCGGGTGAAACAGCAGCACGGTCATGTGACAACAACTCTGCGCGGGTCACACATACGAGCAACTTTCAGAAACCCAAGCGCGCGGGTCCGAGCACAGTCCGGTCAGCGGACGCCGTTTGGCGTGGACGCACCGTCCGCCTCGCGCTCCAGCTCGCACACCGAGTCCTCGTTGTCCCGCGAAAGCTGCGAGATCCGGTCGAACGCGTCGTCCACCTCGTTCGGGATGATGTTGACGTAGGCGCTCGCCGCCTCCTTGTGAAACAGCGTGTCCTGGTTGTAGGACACGAGCTCGTTGCTGATGTTCACCGTCTCCACCGGAGTCTGGCAGCGGTTCCGGCAGCCCAGCAGGCTGGAGAAGCCCTTGCGGAACTCCGCGTTGAAGGCGTAGATCACAGGGTTCAGGGACGAGTTGGTCCAGCCGAACCACACGAACACGTCGAAAGTGGTGTCGCTGACGCAGGACGCGGACGGCTTGTTGTGGCAGAACGGAACCACGCAGTTGAGCACGAAGAACGGCAGCCAGCAGCACACGAACACGCCCATGATGATGGACAGAGTCTTCAGGACTTTGGTCTCGCGGTTGAGGGACGTCTTCAGGCTGCTGTGGTGTTGGCACGCGAGCCGGTTCGTCCGGCAGCTCTGTGCGTGCTCCGCCGCGCGCTCCAGCGACGCGATCCTCCGGATCTGGATCTGCGCGATCCGGTAGATCCGCGTGTAGGTGACGATCATGATCGCCACGGGAATGTAGAAGCTGATGAGGGACGAGGAGATGGCGTACTCGCGGCTCAGGCTCGAGTCGCAGTTGTCGTCGTCGGTGGCGTTGGGCTCCGCGGCGGCTTTGTGCCAGTCCAGCTGCACCGGGATGAACGAGATGAGCACGGACAGCGTCCACGCCGCGCCGATCATCACGAAGGCCACGCGCGGGGTCATCTTGCGCTCGTAGCGGAACGGGCTGCTGATGGCCCAGTAGCGGTCCACGCTGATCACGCACAGGTTCAGGATGGACGCGGTGGAGCACATGATGTCAAACGCCACCCAGACGTCGCAGAACGCGCCGAACGGCCAGAACCCGGCCACCTCCGCCGCCGCCTTCCACGGCATCACCAGCACGGCCACGAACAGGTCCGACACGGCCAGCGACACGATGAAGATGTTCGTAACTTTGGCACGCAGGTGGCGGAAGCGCAGCACGGCGGCGCACACCAGGATGTTCCCGAACAGAGTCCAGAGGATCAGCGCGCACGCAGTTGTCGTCGTCGGTGGCGTTGGGCTCCGCGGCGGCTTTGTGCCAGTCCAGCTGCACCGGGATGAACGAGATGAGCACGGACAGCGTCCACGCCGCGCCGATCATCACGAAGGCCACGCGCGGGGTCATCTTGCGCTCGTAGCGGAACGGGCTGCTGATGGCCCAGTAGCGGTCCACGCTGATCACGCACAGGTTCAGGATGGACGCGGTGGAGCACATGATGTCAAACGCCACCCAGACGTCGCAGAACGCGCCGAACGGCCAGAACCCGGCCACCTCCGCCGCCGCCTTCCACGGCATCACCAGCACGGCCACGAACAGGTCCGACACGGCCAGCGACACGATGAAGATGTTCGTAACTTTGGCACGCAGGTGGCGGAAGCGCAGCACGGCGGCGCACACCAGGATGTTCCCGAACAGAGTCCAGAGGATCAGCGCGCACAGCAGGCAGCCGGTCAGCGCGCGCGCCAGCGTCTCCCGCGGCTCGGACTCGGTTCGGTTGGGCATGCTGGGTCCCGGAGCGCTCACGGGCCGCCATCGGGTGTGTGCGCGAGCGCCGGCTCCGGTGCCGATGCGTCCCGCATGACCGAAGAGGGACTCCGACGCCGAGCGGCTCCAGATGATCCGATGAGAGCACGCGGATGTGTGTGTTTGCGCTCGACTGCTGTCTGACCTCTCTGAGTGCCCGGGAACGGTGCACGGCTATTATGCGCGGGAGAGAGAGAGAGAGAGAGCGAGCGAGAGAGAGAGAGAGAGAGAGAGAGAGAGAGACTGATATCAGTCTGGATATGCAGTGAATGAATAAAAGAACCACTGCCTCATATTTACATGATTGTCACGCTTGATTCATACATTATAATTGAACAACTCATTGATGTGTACAACTCAATAATTACATTAGCTTTTGCATGTTTTGTATTTCAGAATGTCTTGCTTATATCTGCTAATCCAGTAAGTATAATGCAGACGCAGCTCTTTCACGATCAGATTTATAGAGGTTGTTAATGTTTTGTTTTCTTTTTTAACTCAACAGCTTTATTCCAAACGAATAAACAGCGGGATTTCGTTGTGACAACGTGCCCCGCCGATGTTAACGCGTTCAGGTGTAAATGCAAGTGAGCAGATGTCAACCACACACGGCTTCAGGTGACACTCAATGATGAGGATCTCTGATTTCATTCATTATTTGTAGCGAAACCAACCGATTTTTTATTTTTTATTTTTTTATTATTATTGCGAAATGCCTTTGAGCTCAATGAAGGACACGCACAATAAAATAAAATAAATCTAAAACAACACTATAAGAATGCAAGAATGATGAGAGTTCAGTGCACACGCGAAGATTGATTCAGTCAAACGTGTTCAGAAATCCTCAATGAAAGCAGGATGAAATGCAGCAGGAGCATGAATGCGTCTGTAGCGCCGCCTGCAGGCCTCAACGCATATCACAGTAAACGGAGCATCAGAGCAATCACTTGAGCTCCAGAGACACGAGCAGCTAGACTCTAGAGTCTCAGACGCGTCAGTTCTGACAGAAGAGCCTCAGGTGCTGCTGAACTTCACTTCAGCTTGCACAGCTGCATCCAGCCAGAGGGGATTGTGGGATTGCATGACACACAGGAACACCTCGAACTGTCAGAGAGACGAACACACACGTGCACATCTGGCCTCATCAGGAGCACATCTGTGTTTGCAGTCGAGCCTGATGAAGAGACCGTGAGAGCATCAGCTATTCCTCCATCAGAATCAGTCACTTCATTGATCACAGACACACTTCTGACTAGCCAATCAATCCATCACGGAGAGGCTCGAGTCCTGTCCAGAAATAAATAAAAATTACATGAGATATTTAGTCTTCAAAAATCAAAATGAAGAGAGTTTTTGCTTAAAACAAGAACAAATATCTGCTAGTGGGGTCAAAAAAAAAAACTGTTTTCCCTTTGAATTCAGTTTATTTTTCTGAGCCCATCGTTTGTGCAGTGTGTTGAAACTGTTTGACTGCATCTTCTGTGGAACACATGCAGCACTGTTTTCTGTGAGATCTGAATATTGAAAACAGCTGCATTTATACATGAAGACCTCCAGAAGCATCTTCACGCCGACGCTTCAATAACACACAGTCTGAATAAATGTTTACATTACAGAGCTTCATCTTCAGAGATCTGCTGCGTTAAATACAGCAGTGAATGCCTTGAAGATCTCCTGAATAATCTCTCCCTGTGGAGTTCTATAATAAACCTGGCTTTGTGTATCACAAATATCATTGGCTCTTTGAGGAATTACTCGTTACTAGGTTTTTTTAAGAAGTGCTAAATGCATAAATGTAAATGTTCAAATAATAAGCAGAAAGCACACTGCAAAAATTATCTTTCTCTGTATTTCGGTCTGGTTTTCCAGTACAAATAACTAAACATTCTTAAACCAAGAAACTTAAGCAAAATGACTTATTTTAAAGGGTTAGTTCACCCAAAAATGAAAATTAGCCCACAAATTACTCACCCTGAAGTCATCCTATATATGACTTTCTTCTTTCAGACGAATCCAGTTGGAGTTATATTAATAATTGTCTTTGATCTTTCAAGCTGTTTCATGGCACTCAGCGGGTGTTGCATGCATCAGTCCAAAAGAAGTTAAATAAAAAGCGCCCATCCATAAAAAAAGTGTCCCACACGGCTCCGGGGGGTGAACAAAGGCCTTCTGTAGCGAATCCATGCGTTTTTGTAAGAAAAATATCTATATTCAAAGCGCAATAATCACTTTAATGTAGCTTGTGCTCACTGTTGTACACAGAAGCAGCTCCGGGAGCATGACGTATGAGTTCAGCGCTGCGCAAGTGCCGGTGAGTCTCGTGAAAATCAATGTTTGTTTACAGGATCAAAGGAAGCAAAGTTTCCTTACTTTAGCAAAGGAAATCCAGTCTCCTCTTGGCTTATATCGAAATCCTCCGACATTCTTCTTTACAAATCCTCATTTTGTACTTCCAATTAGTGACCGTCAGAGGTGGGACCAAGTCATTGTTTTGCAAGTCACAAGTAAGTCTCAAGTCTTTGCATTCAAGTCTCGAGTCAAGTCCCGAGTCAAGACAGACAAGTCCCAAGTCAAGTCCCGAGTCAAGACAGGCAAGTTCAAGTCGAGTTGCAAGTCCTCAGCTGTAAGATTCAAGTCTTAAACAAGTAATTAGGGCTTTTTGCCCAAATTAGTGTCTCAGTATTAATTACCATATCAAATTCATAGTAATTTATATCAGGAAGGCAGGTAGAATAT